CCATGGGATTTTTCTCATGATTATTAGGTTCCACATGCTCTGTCCTTCCACATTTAACATGAGGACAATGTGCATGTTGTTCTCTCAGTTCTGATGGAAAATTTTCATCCAATTTCTAGGATGTGACAGCTGCAGTTCTTCCTTCTTTGTCCAGAATTCCTGAATTAAGTTTGCCATCATAAAACATCATCTTGAGTTCTTTGGCGGTATTTAGGCAGGATGCAAATAAATACATAAATACCTTAGTTGTGACATTATTTGGTTATTCAAAAACCTTGAGATGAGACCCAAACCTGTCCAAATTCTTCCCACTATTACTGTTACCTGTGCTTCATAGTATTTATAACAGAATAACAGAGTTGGAAGGGACCTTGATCAGGGAAGAAGAGAGGGAGAAGGAGAAGGAGAAAAAGCTGTACCACATCCATTAGTATAAATTATCTTACCCTTCAATGATCTGCTAAATAAAGACAAATCTATTGCTTGTACAGAAATGTGCAACTTCCATCCTTAATGTAGATGTATACAATTATTCTGTTGATATTGATATACTATTAGGAATTTAAAAACGATGTGTTTTTAAAATATGTTCAATTACATAAAATTAATTAGTGAAATACTGAACATTCTTATCTAATTCTATTATGCTTATAAAAGTGTTCTTCATTCACTGTTTTACCAGTTTTTGTCTTCTCCTTTTCCCCCTTTTAAACAATTCTTAATAAAAAAATATAATAGTTTCTTTAAAAAGATGTTGGTGGCAATGATCAAGAGACTACAGCTGCCGTATCTAATCCTGTTGGGATTATTGGGACCACCAAATATTTCCCTCAACAATCTGTGAAAGGTTGCAGATTCACTCTAAAAGGAATGCCTGTGTAGCTCCAAGCCAGCCAATAGGTTCACTGTTGACAAGATACGATAGTAGGTCAAGATTGCAAGGTTCTGAGCTTTGCTGAGAGAAGGCTGGATGATAAGAAGTCAGCATTATCTTAACATCATTCCTGACAGCACAATAATGCAATCAATGGAGCTTTTCTTAGCAAGCTAGTTGTATTATTTTACATCTATTTTTCAACTACAGTGCAGAAATATTTCCTACAAGAAAATAAGACAAGTGGTTTAAGAGTCTTTTGTAATTTGGTGAAAAAACTATCTGTTTTACATTTTATTTACTGCAAGCACAATAAATAAGAAGTATTACTTACTGAACTCCTTAATTTCCTCTTTTTATAGATGCTGGGAGACCCACTGTTTTCTTCCATAAGGTCAACTACAGTTAAAATGCTTCCTCTATTTTCATTTATTTTCATTTTTCTCTCACACAAGAACTTAATTCATTCATTCGCTCGTTTGTTCATTGATTCACTCTTTTATTCAATTTATATAGCTACCCATCTCCCATACATGATTCTAGGTGGCTTACAATAAAATAAATATAAATACATAAATATAGAATATAAAAATAAAAATAAAACACATAGCAGCTGGGCCTCAATTATCCACAGAGCCAGGAGACAAACTATTAATATTTGCCGGTGACCAGTTTTTTGTCATTCCCTTTTTGCCGTGCTATAATGACAGTTGAGAAAGAGAAATGAACAGAACTAGAAAGGGAAGTTTAAACATATATCATAGCGGTAAAATTATCTCATGGTTTTCAAAGTTCTATGCTCTTAATCAAGACTCTCAAAATTCATCTGCTTGCCTCTCGTTCTTCAAATAGCACAAACAGAACCAAAGAAATGGGGACACTTTCATACTCTCACTTCCTCATCCCTCAAAAGCTGTTTGAAACCCATGGTCATCTTTATTGCCACCATTCAAATCACTGAGAATAGCAGTTATTTCCCCAGTTGCCCAACAAGGAATGCTGTACCATCCTGTGCATGCTATTAATTATATTTTTAGCATTTACCTAGTGATTTCTTCCTAAAGGCAGTAACTGCTATTTTTGGGGGTGAGGGGGGCTGCAAAGCCAACAATACATTCATTTTCTCTTTTGCATACAGTAGGTGAACATCTTTGGAGAGGGGAAAGTGGCTGACTCAGCCCAGGAGCCCAAAAGTGAGATTTCTGCCAATTTCTGC